CGGCGGTAGAGAATCAACCAGCCAGCCAATCCAAATACCTCTGGTTTAATGGTAGACCTTGGGCTTGTCTTTCTAAAGTGACGATGAGAGTTTACTCGAATTTACATAGCAAGCGTAGGTACATTATTCTTCCACAAACAGAACAATATGTTGAAGTAAATTCTCTGTCATCATGAAGCAAACATTCTAAATCCCCAGAGTTATTCATTGATATATGTGTAATTTGTATTGTATCTCTATGAGTAATATATACTTGCGTCCTTTTATAGCTTATTTCAATTACTTTTAGGACGAATGAAATTAATCAAATTGCACCACTCCTTTGAAATATACGAGAAACGGAGACAGACAGAAATATACAATGACGGTTTGATGGTCTTGTCATGCAGCCTCCTGAAGACGCATAATGAAGACAAGTGTAGTGAAAGCGCAATGCCTCATAATGTTACCTTGTCCGACGGGTACAATGCGTGTTGTCTGGCCTGTGTAGACAGGCAATAAAGTAGACCGCATGCAGACTACGACAGTGGTATCACAGTGGGACATTGTACAGATGTCAAGTGAGCCATGGACCAATAAACCAGACATATACAGGGGAAAGCACTCCGGGCTGGACAATTGCCATGTTTTGGCCCCGAACAGGTCACACAAATTACTACTGCAGGCTCGGCATTAGCATCATGCAGAAAAGGGCTCAGCACCTGCTCCACCGTGGACGTGGTGGCCATGCCGTCATTCTCTTTGCAAATCTAGCTACGTCTCTTAATAACACCAGAAACGAATGATCGTGTGTTCGAATCCAGGTTCTCAGTTTGTCATCACAGTAAACACCCGGGGCGGTGGGGTAGCCTAGTGATTAAAGCGTTCGCTCGTCACGCCGAATGCCTGGGTTCGATTCCCCACATGGATACAATGTGTGAAGCCCATTTTTGTTGTCCCCCGCCGTGATATTTCTGGAATATTGCTAAAACCGGAGTAAAACTAAACTCATTAATTGTCAGATATTCAAATAAGTCACCACACTCACTCACAACGTAGGGTTGTGCTCCTATAGCCTGAAACTGACACGTCGTGACATAGCTGGAATACTGTCCACGGAACAGACATCTCTTTGCTGCTGCTGCTACTGCCTTTTTGCGTTATGTACCGTTAAAATAATTGTACCGTTAACGTAAAACCCTTGTGCAATTTCCTATTCTTATCCCTGGAACACAGAACGAGTATATCAAGAAAGCTAAAGACATAAAGAGCACCTGATTTGTCCAAAATAACACACATCCTTCCAACTGCAATCGTTCTTTGACTTGTTTTGAATAGTGTATAAGGAAACCTATACTAAATAAATATACCGGTTATAAACCCATCGCAGTTGAAGGTCGAGGTCACTTTACGATTGGGTTGTGGATTACACGCAAGTCGTAGAAGGATATTCCTGAATTGTCCCTGTTTATTTTGGTGCAACCAGTCTTCTGGAAAGTGTTGCGTCTTGCATCGTCCAAGCTAGCTCCTCACAGTTCTCAAGCCCCGGGGCGAAGTTTGCGCGAATGAACTACCAAGGGAGGTCACTCTAAATAAAGGTAATTACCACGACTCAACATTGTACGGGCGCCTCTATTAACCTGCAGTCACAACCATCAGAAAAGAAGCAGTATTAATAAAATGTTTGAGATATGTAGTCATCATCATCATCATCATCAAAATCTTTATTACGTATGAAGGCCACAGGCCCTTATAATATTAATATACATATTCCAAACAGCTATGTAGTCAAAGAAATATACCAACAAACTTTTAAAGCCCAATCGAAATTTGAAAAAGAAATGAACTCAAGCGCCACCTTTGTTGGCACCAATATTTCTTTTATTTGTAGTTTAATTAAATCTAGGCAGTAGTGCCAATGTAAAGGTAGATTATTCAAGCTGATGACGTGCCAGGGTCTCTGCAATCTTGCTTGGATGTTCCAGACGACAGTCGGTTCACTTCAGTCAGCTTCCAGACATCGCCTTCTACTCACTTCTGACACCTTATTAGCGTGATGACATCAATAAAACACCTACCTCGTCGCCATGATCCCGTCTAATTGTCCACTTCCCCAGTGCAGGCACGGTTTGATGGGCTGCACCGCGTCCTTCTATGTAATTACGTCTATTGATCGAACATGTTCTAGTAGGTGGTCATTTGATGCATGTGGGAGGGACGAGGATGTCGAGTATCAAGTCCAGACAGAGGGTACACATGTTGGTTTGCATATGGATATGTAATAACTATATCATAAAGGATAGCTTTGATGTTCTCCCAAGGATGATATTGGCTATTTTACGTTGGGAAAGTCTGGAGATCAAATCGTGTATAGACCAACGAACAAGTCGATTTTGCAATTTCTGAGCACGTTCGAATCCTATTTAGAGTCCAGATGGTATAGGGCACAGAAAATCATCCAGCTAAATTATGTAAAGACGCGTTTTCGTTAATATTTTCAAACCATAATGCTTCAATATATCCTGCATCCACAATGCAAAAGCGGCTGTGGTGTAGTCGAATGGTTAAAGCGTTGGTTCGTCACGACGAAAAGCCGGTTTCTATTCCCCGTTCAGTATACAATGAAGTGCCCGTACTTGGAGCCCTCCGACATGTTTTACAGGCATATTTCTGGAACAGGGCAAAAACAACTTCACTCACTCAAATCCGTGTGGCAGGATTAGTTTCTTTATATCACACATTTCGAAAATCCAAGCTCGCTCCCAGAGCAGAGACCAATGATAGGTTGTGACAAATCTCCCAGCTGATAACGGGAACACAAACATGTAGCCTCATTAATACCTGTGTCACTTTCAATCGACGTTTACGATGTATCCCTCAGAAAACTTGTCAGCGTCTATAGACTAGACAAAGCCGTCACGAGGTCCCTGTTGTCAATGCATTGGAAGCATAATGAAAGTCACTGAGACTGGTATTTGAGTCTTGCTTAACTAAGCCTTTGAAAGAAAAACATCTACCACTGTATATTTTTTCACGAACCATCTTTCTGTCACAGTGTCCCTATGTTTCACGCCTTCTGCCTTAGTGTCTCCTATGCTAAACCTTCATTCTGTCCACGGGTCCCCTCTGATCTTAATACACCGGCAATATGGTCTGAACCATATTTCTGCCCCAGTATGCTCGAGACTGAACGATCCTCCCTGCCCCAGTGTTGCCTGGTCTGAACCATATTTCTGGTCTGGAACCCAGTATACTGTTGCCTGGTCTGAACCATATTTTTGTCCCAGTATACTCGAGACTGAACGATCCTCCTGCCCCAGTGTCCCCTGGTCTGAACCATATTTTTGTCTCAGTATACTCGAGACTGAACGATCCTCCTGCCCCACTGTCCCCTGGTCTGAACCATATTTCTGTCCCAGTATACTCGAGACTGAACGATCCTTCTGCTCCAATGTCCCCTGGTCTGAACCATATTTCTGTCCCAGTATACTCGAGACTGAACGATCCTTCTGCTCCAGTGTCCCCTGGTCTGAACCATATTTCTGTCTCAGTATACTCGAGACTGAACGATCCTCCTGCCCCAGTGTCCCCTGGTCTGAACCATATTTCTGTCCCAGTATACTCGAGACTGAACGATCCTTCTGCTCCAGTGTTCTCTGGTCTGAACCATATTTCTGTCCCAGTATACTCGAGACTGAACGATCCTCCTGCCCCAGTGTCCCCTGGTCTGAACCATATTTCTGTCCCTGGTCTGAAGTATTCTCCCAGACTGAACGATCCTTCTGCCCCAGTGTCCCCTGGTCTGAACCATATTTTTGTCCCAGTATACTCGAGACTGAAGGATCCTCCTGCCCCCTTCTGCTCCAATGTGTCTCTGGTCTGAACCATATTTCTGTCTCAGTATACTCGAGACTGAACGATCCTTCTACTCCAGTGTCCCTGGTCTGAACCATAGACTGAACGATCCTTTGTTGTCCCAGTATACTCGAGACTGAAGGGATCCTCCTGCTCCCAGTGTTGTCAGTATGCTCTGGTCTGAACGAGACATATTGGTCTGTCCAGTATACTCGAGACTGAATCCCCTTTCCCATCCCTGGTCTGAACCATATTTTTTGTCTCAGTATACTCGAGACTGAAGGATCCTTCTACTGAAGGATTTGCCTCATTGTCCCTGTCTCATGTTTCTACTCGAGTGCTCCCAGTGTCCCCTGGTCTGAACCATATTTTTGTCTCAGTATACTCGAGACTCCTCCCTGCCCAGTGTCCCCTGGTCTGAACCATATTTCTGTCCCAGTATACTCGAGACTGAACGAAGTGTCCCTGGTCTGAACCATATTTCGCCCAGACTGAACGATCCTTCTACTCCCTGTCCCCTGGTCTGACTGAACGATCCTGAACGATCCTTGATCCCCCGCCCAAGTGTCCCTCGTCTGAACCATATATTTCTGTCTCCAGTGTCCCTGGTCTGAACCATATTTCTGTCTCAGTATACTCGAGACTGAACGATCCTCCTGCCCCAGTGTCCCCTGGTCTGAACCATATTTCTGTCCCAGTATACTCGAGACTGAACGATCCTCCTGCTCCAGTGTTTTCTGGTCTGAACCATATTTCTGTCCCAGTATACTCGAGACTTAACGATCCTCCTGCCCCAGTGTTTTCTGGTCTGAGCCATATTTCTGTCCCTCTATACTCTAAAGTTAACCTCTCTTCTCTTGTGTTTCAGTGTCGTCTACCTGAACCATCCTGCTGTACGCGTTTTTTATTATCATGAACTATCCTTCTGTCCAAGTGTACATTTGATCTATCGTTTTGAATTTATCCATGGCTAAAATGTCAACAGAGTACATTTTAGGTTGTATGTTAATTGTGTCATTTTGCTTTGGCTTTATTCATCCGCAACCCTAGAAAATAATGAGTGAGTGAGTTTAGTTTTACACCGCTTTTTAGCAATATTCCGGCAATATCGAGGGACACCAGAAATGGGCTTCACACATTGTGCCCCTGTGGGGAATCGAACCCAGGTCTTCGGCGTGACGAGAGGAGGCTTTAGCCACTAGGTGAACCCACCGCCCCCGAAAATAATGACCTACTGCTATGAGACCAACTGCCAAATTCTCTTCGTGACAGTTAGCTTTTTCAACAGGGGCGGTGGGGTAGCCTAGTGGTTCGTTTGTGACGCCGAAGACCCAGGTTCGATTCCCTACATGGGTACAATGTGTGTAGCCGATTTCGGGTGTTCCCCGCAGTGAAGTTGTTGTAACAATTTAAATGTGGCGTAAAACCTAACGCGCTCTTTTCACAGAAACGAGGTACATATATTTCAATAATTGCTTGAGGAATGAGGATTTCTAAAAGTATTTCTGGTTCTCAAATATATTTCAGCTACATGTAGTTCATACTGATGCTTTACCCTCCCCATTCACTAAAATGACCCAAGTGTCTCTATTGCTATTGCGAAATTGTGTTTCAGCTGGTTGTTATTGCGTAACTGGGTCATATTCAGCGTGAAGATATGGGACATCAATTGCGTCAGTTCATTAAAACTAATTTATATTTGTGCGAGAAAAATGATCTTCACTGAACAATGAGGGATGTTAAGTGAGTGAGTGAGCTAAATTCGAAGAGTCGTATTGCATATTTTTCCTTGGTGCATTTTATATCTGAGGACATTTGATGCGTCATTTACAAGTAATTATGATACAACAGTAATGATCCATTTTAAGTCGCTTTGTGTCCTCACAATAGAACCGTTCCTGTCAGAGTTGCAAATGTTCCGAGTGACGCAGAGTGTCACCTCCTGTAATCAAAGATGGGATAATTACTGTTTCACCAACAGCACCACAGCCACTCGGCATCAAATGCTGATGCAAACTATCATTATGTATTCTGTTTGGAATGAGTGGAGTCAGCCACGTTGTAGTCAGCGGCTCCGTGGACGGACACATGCATATGTCATCTGCTGAGCAGTGGTAACACTTGGCACACACCGGCCTGCGACATCGTGATCCCATTTAGAATATCTTCAGTTAGTTATTTCGGGAACAGGTGCCTTGATAAATCAGAAAATGTGGTCTGTTTTTGTATTCTCCGTTGAATGTACCCAGGAGGCATAGTATAGACCATCACAAGTAAAGACCACATATTCAGTTAAGTATTGGAAGATTGCAAGGGCGAGTGAGGATTAGTTCTGTATGCCCAGTATGTATCAAGGGAGCAGTCAGTGATGACCGGTACTGTATACCCAGTATCCCCAAGGGTAAGTGATGATTAGTACTGTATACCCAGTATCCCCAAGGGTAAGTGATGATTAGTACTGTATGCCCAGTATGTATCAAGGGAGCAGTCAGTGATGACCGGTACTGTATACCCAGTATCCCCAAGGGTAAGTGATGATTAGTACTGTATACCCAGTATCCCCAAGGGTAAGTGATGATTAGTGCTGTATGCCCAGTATGTATCAAGGGAGCAGTCAGTGATGGCCAGTACTGTATGCCCAGTATGTATCAAGGGAGCGGTCAGTGATGGCCAGTACTGTATACCCAGTATCCCCAAGGGTAAGTGATGATTAGTACTGTATACCCAGTATCCCCAAGGGTAAGTGATGATTAGTGCTGTATGCCCAGTATGTATCAAGGGAGCAGTCAGTGATGGCCAGTACTGTATGCCCAGTATGTATCAAGGAGCAGTCAGTGATGGCCAGTACTGTATGCCCAGTATGTATCAAGGGAGCGGTCAGTGATGGCCAGTACTGTATGCCCAGTATGTATCAAGGGAGCAGTCAGTGATGGCCAGTACTGTATGCCCAGTATCCCCAAGGGTAAGTGATGATTAGTACTGTATACCCAGTATCCCCAAGGGTAAGTGATGATTAGTGCTGTATGCCCAGTATGTATCAAGGGAGCAGTCAGTGATGGCCAGTACTGTATGCCCAGTATGTATCAAAGGGAGCAGTCAGTGATGGCCAGTACTGTATGCCCAGTATGTATCATGCCCAGGGAGGGGTAAGTGATGATTAGTACTGTATGCCCAGTATGTATCAAGGGAGCAGTCAGTGATGGCCAGTACTGTATGCCCAGTATCCCCAAGGGTAAGTGATGATTAGTGCTGTATGCCCAGTTCGTCCTAAGGGAGCTGTGAGTGATGACTGCTATGGTATGTTAAGTATGGTATGCCCAGTATGTCCTAAGGGAGCTGTGGGTGATGCCCAGTATGGTATGCCCAGTTCGCCCTGAGGGAGATGTGAGTGATGACTGGTATGGTATGTCCAGTATGGTATGCCCAGTTCGTCCTGAGGGAGCTGTGAGTGATGACTGCTATGGTATGTCCAGTATGGTATGTCCAGCATGGTATGTCCAGTATGGTATGTCCAGTATGGTATGTCCAGTATGGTATGTCCAGTATGGTATGTCCAGTATGTCCCAAGAGAGCTGTGAATGATGCCCAGTATGGTATGTCCAGTATGGTATGCCCAGTATAGTATGCCCAGTATGGTATGTCCAGTATGGTATGCCCAGTATGGTATGTCCAGTATGTCCCAAGGGAGCTATGAATGATGCCCATTCTGGTATGCCTAGTTCGCCCTGAGGGAGCTGTGAGTGATGCCCAGTATGGTATGTCAAGTATGGTATGTCCAGTATGGTATGTCCAGTATGATATGTCCAGTATGGTATGTCAAGTATGGTATGTCCACTATCGTATGTCCAGTATGGTATGTCAAGTATGGTATGTCCAGTATGGTATGTCCAGTCTGGTATGCCCAGTATGTCCTAATGGAGCTGTGAGTGATGACTGCTATGGTATGTCCAGTATGGTATGTCCAGTATGGTATGTCCAGTATGGTATGCCCAGTATGGTATGTCCAGTATGGTATGCCCAGTATGTCCCAAGGGAGCTGTGAGTGATGCCCAGTATGGTATGTCCAGTATGGTATGTCCAGTATGGTATGTCCAGTATGGTATGTCAAGTATGGTATGTCGAGTATGGTATGTCAAGTATGGTATGTCCAGTATGGTATGTCAAGAGTATAGTATGTCCAGTATGGTATGTCCAGTATGGTATGCCCAGTATGTCCCAAGGGAGCTGTGAGTGATGGCTGGTATGGTATGCCCAGTTCGCCCTGAGGGAGATGTGAGTGATGTCTGGTATGTCCAGTATGTCTCAAGGGAGCTGTGAGTGATGGCTGGTATGGTATGCCCAGTTCGCCCTGAGGGAGATGTGAGTGATGTCTGGTATGCCCAGTATGTCTCAAAGGGAGCTGTGAGTGAGTGATGGCTTGTATGCCCAGTATGTCTCAAGGGAGCTGTGAGTGATGGCTGGTATGGTATGCCCAGTATGTCTCAAGGGAGCTGTGAGTGATGGCTGGTATGGTATGCCCAGTATGTCCCAAGAGAGATGGGAGTTATGACTGGTATGGTATGCCCAGTATGTCTTAAGGGAGCTGTGAGTGATGGCTGGTATGGTATGCCCAATATGTCCCAAGAGATGGGAGTTATGACTGGTATGGTATGCCCAGTTCGTCTTAAAGGAGCTGTTAGTGATGGCTGGTATGGTATGTTTAGTATGGTATGCCCAGTATGGTATGTCCAGTATGGTATGCCCAGTATGGTATGCCCAGTATGTCCCAAAGGGAGCTGTGAATGATGCCTATTCTGGTATGCCTAGTTCGTCCTGAGGGAGCTGTGAGTGATGCCCAGTATGGTATGTCCAGTATGGTATGTCCAGTATGGTATGTCAAGTATGGTAGGTCCAGTATGGTATGTCCAGTCTGGTATGCCCAGTATGTCCCAAAGAGAGCTGTGAATGATGAGTATGTATGTCCAGTGATGCCCAGTATGGTATGTCCAGTATGGTATGTCCAGTATGGTATGCCCAGTATGTCCCAAAGGAGCTGTGAATGATGCCCATTCTGGTATGCCTAGTTCGTCCTGAGGGAGCTGTGAGTGATGACTGCTATGGTATGTCCAGTATGGTATGTCCAGTATGGTATGTCCAGTATGGTATGTCCAGTATGGTATGTCCAGTATGGTATGCCCAGTATGTCCCAAGGGAGCTGTGAATGATGCCCAGTCTGGTATGCCCAGTTCGCCCTGAGGGAGATGTGAGTGATGTCTGGTATGCCCAGTATGTCTCAAGGGAGCTGTGAGTAATGGCTTGTATGTTATGCCCAGTATGTCTCAAGGGAGCTGTGAGTGATGGCTGGTATGGTATGCCCAGTATGTCTCAAGGGAGCTGTGAGTAATGGCTTGTATGTTATGCCCAGTATGTCTCAAGGGAGCTGTGAGTGATGGCTGGTATGGTATGTTTAGTATGGTATGCCCAGTATGTCCCAAGGGAGACTGGTATGTCCAGTATGGTATGCTCAGTATGTCCCAAGAGAGATGGGAGTGATGGCTGGTATGGTATGCCCAGTGCATCCTAAGGGAGCTGTTAGTGATGGCTGGTATGGTACGAACAGTATGTCCCAAGGGAGCTATAGTGATTGCTGGTATAGTATACCCCAAGGGAGCTGTGAGTGATTGCTGGTATGGTACGCCCAATGGGAGAATTGGGTAATGGCTGGAACTGTATGCCCGGTATGTCCCAAGGGAGCTATGAGTAGATTAAGGCACACGAGGATAAAGGTAAATGAGGGTTGACGGATGTAGATCAGTGAAGGCCAAGGTAACTTAGTGTAAAGAAAGGTACATCGGTGTAGACTGATAGATAGATGTGGATATACCAAGTCAGACAGAGGCAGACAAAGTTAGGAAAAAGCAGACCAAAGTAGACGAAGGTAAATCAAAATGCTTACCACGGTGTCCTTTATGCATCACAGCATGTAACAGGTATGTAGACGGACTGAGTTTTTCCCTCGTTCGCATGTATGAGTGACAGTGATGATATTTCATAAATATCTCAACATACATCTAACATATATCTGACATAAATTGTATCTAAAGTCATTTTTGAGGGCACATTTACAAATATTAGAATGAGAATAACAGATATACGTCAGGGCACCTGAACGACCATGAACACGCGGACGAATTCATGACCAAGGTGAACCTAGGCAGATCACTATGGACCAACTAGACCAAGA